GGCCAGTGGGTGGGAAGTCTTGTGGATCCAGTGGTGTTGTGAGCATCTCAGCACTGGCAGGGGTCTCCATGTGGCTTCTCCAACTCATGGAACTAGGGTAGTTCCGTGTGTCTTGTCAGCTGAGAGTCTCTCAGGGAGTGAGCATGTGTTCCACCTCCAATGAGCTATTTTATCTCCTTCGTGCCTCCACATGAGGTCATCAAGCTGTGATCCCATTGACAGGCTACACGCCACCTCTTCACTCTTAATCCTCAAATTCACAACAGATTATGTAACTACCACATTTATATACATCAACTAGCTGAGGTCATCTTTTAGTAATTGACTTAAGAAGTACCTACTTTTATATCTTAAGGTTTTAATCTAAATTCTTTCTCTAGTCTGGCTAGAACATCTAAAATCTTCTCCCCACCATCTAGTATATATCCTAAACTAGCTCAAAAGTATTTTATTATTTCATTTTCTTAAATCATGCTGCAAGTATTGTGTTTGTACTGTATTCGTGCCAATAACCATGCTGACAAAAAGAATGGCAGTGCTTTTGAGCAAGAATATTATCATTATTTGGAGTTTTTTCAAAGTATTTTATTCAGGAAGTTGTTTGATCATTGCTAACCCATGCTCTTTTGATAATTCTGTCACTTGGGCTCTGGTGGCCCTATCCATTGTATCTCCTGGGACCATCTCCTTTCCACAGAGCTCAGTTGCTTCTTTCAGAAAGGCGATGAGAAAGAGCACTGAGAACACAGCGATGCTGGGAACCCTGGGATGGGAAGGATCCTCGGTGTGACACAGAGCACACCCAGCCAGCGGAAGGTACAGCCTTCCTTGGCCTGCAGCTTCACTATGTCATTCTCTTCACATGCCACCTTGTGCCAGGATGAACTTATCACAGATCTGTGCAAAGCAATCTCTCTTAAGGAGACGTTTGCTGGTACACTGGCTCTCCGGAAGCAGGAGATTTAATGAGATTGGAGAGGGAGAAGCCTAAGTTGGGAGTGTTTACTGGGACCATCCCAACCACCAATTTTCACGGTACCAATTTGCTGCCGTTGGATAAGAAGGTGGGAAGAGATGACCACAGATGGCACTCCTCGACCTCATTGAGCTGCTCAAGCACAGCATGTGTGTCTGAGGACCAGGCCAGCGCCAGAGCTTCCTGTGGGGTGCACTGGGACCTCCAGCATATCCCTCTGCTTCTTCTCACCGCCTCCCCCACCCCCCCAGTGTTGTTCCTGAGAAGACACCCCAATTAACGTTCTACATGGGACTCTTGATTGATTCCCTGTTTCTGTTTCCCAGGGACTCAGGCCCAAGTTAAGCTCATTATTAAAAATGTAGAGAGTGAAAGCCCTATGTTCGCTCCTCCATTAACTAATTAGATCAACTATTACCACCACTTGGTTTCCTAATGAATCACAGAATTTACCTTGATAAGATGATAAATGGGCAACGCCGAGGTCTTTCTGTTTTGTTGCCAGTCCTAATCTAAATCCTTTAACGTAGGCAGACCACACACAAAGCAGAATCGAACGTGGTCACCTGTTGACAGTACAGAGTCATGTCGCAAACGTCGGTGACAATACTAAAGGGGCGCTGGGAAGACAAAGACAATTTAGCCTCACGTTCAAATATGCTATCTTCGGATCCATCTGATCGTGTGTCAGTCATCAGGTCACTGAACTAGCTCCACGACTCCTCCCTGGACGTCGGCAAATAAAGCGAATGGATTCCTAAGCTGTCAGCGACCCTCTCAAACGTTTCGTTTTGCCAGATGGATCAGAAGGGAAGGAAAGAAACCAAAGAAGCGTGATAGATGAATGTACTGGCATGGCTATAATGTTCAGGCCTGGCGAAATTGTAACTTAGATTAAAATGTGGGTGACAAATTTTGAGTCTACATTCCCAGAAAAGTACAACAATTTATATTGTCAATTTTCAATTATCTGTCCTAGGAGGAATAACAATAATGGCAATTATCCAAAAGGGCAGATAATGAACAAATTCATTTCTATTTGACTTTGAAATAGTGTTCTCTGTTCCAAAACCAACACGTGAGGGTGGGAGCACTTTATATTCTGGAAATCTGCCAGGCCTGGAACTGAAATTCCTCTTTAGAAAGCAGATTGAAGAAAGTAGCTTACATTATCCACCTCGTATGGTACAATATGTTCCTACTTTCTATTTTATTGCTGCAAATAAATGCCATTATCTCAGGAAAATAATGCTCAGTTCATTCTAAGAAGAAGAAAAAAATTTGTACCTATATGTTTGCTAGCATATATATTCCCAGAATTGATCATTGAGTATTTGGTCTGAAAGAACACCCTGCCCTTGCTTGGCCACAGGTTTTCTTTTTTCTCTCTCCTTTTCCCCCCATACCAAAGAAACGAATCAGAACTGGTGCTCAAAACAAAGAGTTGTGTCTACGTAAATTTGAGATCCTGACTCTGTGTAGAACAAGGTATCCATGGGAAAATGAATAGGCGGGTCTGTGTTCTCCTTGTGTCCTTTCCCTGGCTCTGGTTACTTTTCCCTCAGTCGGTACTAGGAGCTGGATGGCAGTGCCTGGCCAAGAGTCTGCCTCACACGAACCACTCCTTTCCTTCCCTGGCCTTTGCTCAATTCAATACTGTGTTCTGTGAGTGGCACCAGAGTTCAATAAATATTTATGTTTCATCCCACTCTCTATTTATAGAAAATTCTGCAAAAGCAAGAATTATGTGTGTGTGTGTGTGTGTGTATAAAATCTTTCAGGTGTTATTTCCCCAATGTCAACATTCCTGTCTAATCAATGCCAGCTAATAGTAACACTCCAAGAGAGCAGAGAACTGCCCTGCAGGGTTTCCATAGTTTTAAGTCTCTCTGGAAGCAGAAAGCATATCTTTTTTCTTGAACTATTGCCCTATCAGTTGGTAGCTAAGCATTTAACCCCCATGCCATAGGGCTCCTTCAATATTCAGCACATCTTCAATAGAGTTCAATACAATCTAGCTCTGTGGAAATTTATCCATAAAGAGTTAGCAAATCATTTATTGAGAACCATAGCATTTTTAAGGGCTATGTATGCCAAAAGTTGACCACAAGCTCTCTTGTCTTATTCTTAGTCATGTGGCACACTCTCTTTAAAGAAAGGTACATTTTTACATAAAGAAGAAGATAGTTAAGTATCACAGTGCTCTTGAATACTTGCTTTAAGATTTCTTTGCTAAGTAGAAAGAAAATGTTTTGAGAATGATGATGGCAACATATGCACAAATGTGCTTGACACAGTGGATGGATGGATGATTGTGATAAGAGCTGTATAAGCCCCCAATAAAATGAGTTTGAAAATGAAATAAAAAATTTCTTTGCTAATTGATCTTTGATAGTTAGCCAAATTTGATTTGCTTTCCCTTTAAATATTTGAATAGCATCTTCAGTTGAACATTGACAAGGCTCTGGGGAGGTGGTTAAGCACATGGGTAGCCCAAGAAGATGTTGGTTCAAATCCTGGCTCTACTTGATATGAGAGTAACATTGGACAAGAGAAATCATGGATTGTTTTTGGTTTGGTTTGGTTTGGTTTTTTCACTGAGTTTGGAAATACTAAAACATGGCTAAGAAGGTGGTGGTGATGTTACCTGTTAAAATAAATGCAATTGAACTGATGCTGGCTCTTAAAGACCCCATAGGATAGAGTAGGCATGCCCCTCATAGCGTTTCCGAAGCGATAAATCCTGATAGAAGCAGATCGTCACATCCTCTTCCCACCAAACAGCTAGAGGGTTTGAACTGCCGACCTTTCCATTGATTACAGTTAGCCTGTGTAAATAATGAATGTATGGTTGACATTCAATGAATGTAGGGGAGAGTTGTAGTTTGCAGTACTAGCTACACCATATACAAGCGTGACTTCTAAGCACCGTCTCATAGGAACAGAGCAGCCCTTCTGCAGGCACAGGAAGCAGCCTTAGATCCAGTAGTGCTCACTCCTACCACTGTCCGGTTACCATGCCATCACCCTTCAAATCTAGCCACAGTGCTGAAACACCGTCCCCAACCTATGCCTATAATCAGAGGATGATTTCAGAAGAACCATGAACACTTTAGTCACTCAGCTCTACCCAGGATGGTCTTTCCATAATAGGAAGGATGAGAACAGATTACAGCAGCTGTCTTTATGAAGTTTTATGCAAATATAACTTGAGCCCGTAAATCAGCAATAGAGGGCAGTGTCTGGTTGACCTCCCATCCCCTTCCAGGTCATTGACACAGCCTTGATGAAATGCAGCCAGTCGTCGAGGGCTGTAAACTAAAGGGAAGGCAATCGTGTCCCGAAGCCCAGCTCTGCCACTAGTGAGTGGATTGAATGCCCTTGCCCAAATAGCTTCCCTCTCAGGACTCTTTCCATCACTTAGAATATAAAGGCATCGCATCCAATCATCGGTACGTTCTGACCACCCATGGGCTACTTCCAACCTGCAGGGAGACTTTTCCTTTTTGTTTTGTTTTTAATTAGGGGTCCAAATTTGAGACCTAAGAGGTTTCCCAGAAAATTATCTGTCAAACGTTCCTGATGTCTGCCCTTCAGAAATGTGGACCTGTGGCATTACCAACCCTGTTTTTCTGGGCAGAATGAAAACCACACCTAAACAGGAGCAATTGCCTCCTTCAACTGCAACATCTGCCCACCAGTTCCCCACACTCCCTACCTGGCCCTACTCTTTCCTAGGCAGCTCCCTCACTTACTTCACTCAGCAGGTCTTGTAGCCATCTGTGATTGCAATTTCAGGACCAGCTCTCACCCTCATTAATTTATTCATTCATTCATTGATCCTTTTTTTTTTTTTCATTTGAACAACCTCTCTGTAGTAGTCACCTAGGCATCGATCCATATAATGAACGTATAACCTATAAAGAAATCACCTGGGATTTTGCGCATTTGCTGGTTTTTGTCATTTCCAGATCCAGTTCATTTCTGTGCTTTCTAACGTTTTCTCTCCTTGCTTCTCCTTTAGGATTCTGACGTTTGGGAAGCAGCAGCCGCCCCCCTGGAGGATCTACTGCAAATCCCCCCATCAGACAGATGGCGACCACGTTCGGTGCTCTGCGCACATGGTAAGAAGAGCGAGACCTAGGCGTGCTCGGCCCAACTGGCCGGAAACGAAGGTCAGGCTCGATGCCACAGCCCCTCGCTAGGGAAACTAACAGGAGCTCTGCACAGTCAGAGGTCACTCAAGTTCAACATCTAAGGACTAACGAGTAGAGACCAAACTTCAGGTGGTTGAAAATCATGGCTACTTTATTAATGAGTTCACCTGTTAAAGTAGTGAAATGCCCTTGCCAGAAAAGGCTGGTTCCAGAATGGCACCGAGGAGGAAAAGAAGCGATAGCTTAAATAAAAATGTCCTTTCCTTTTTTTTCCAATTCCTATTTACAAGTGTCTATGAAACCTTTGACTGATTTTAATGGTGAGCTCTTTAAGATGAAATGTTAGGAAACTCAAGACATGCCTTAGGTGACCTGAGACAATGCCTAGTTAAAATCCATTTCTCTAAGGCGATAGCTAATTGATTCTTGAGTCTTCTTGACTGAAATAACCTTGTCCCACAGGCGATTGTACTTCAATAATTTCCTACTTCAGTGAAAAATAACACTACTTTTATAGAGAAAATGATGATGCTGTTTCTGAAAGTGTCTATGGTAATATTCATAGTATTTAGAATGTTTGTATTTAAACTGATAAAGAGCAAAAGACAAACAAAGAATCAGAACATTCTTCTGTATGCTGACATTTTCCCCTAAATAAATAAAGACGATTACAGCCTTCCTGGAGTGTGGCTCAGAAACAGAAGCAATACACTGCCAGAGGACACAGCGCTGATACGCCCCAGCCCCAGCAGTGCACAGAGTAGACTAAGATACCTCCTTTCAGATACTTTTCTAGATCCATATGTAGCTCAGGCGAACACTGATGTGCAGCTCCTGGTGGATAGGATTGTAGGGCAGGCTTTAGCTAATTCCCTGAGACCTAATTTGCCAAAAAGAAATTGAACAAAATTCCAGTGTATCAAATTCCTTTCTCCTTTTCATTACTTATGAAGTTTGCAGCAATTTGCACTGGATGCATCAGTCTTAAACACTTTGGGGAGTTTCTGTGAGGTTTTATTTTATGGTTTTTCCATTTGCTTCATGTCAACTTCTGAAGAAATGGTCCGTTTCGCTGAATCCCCTGCTGTTGTGCTGGAGTGAGTCTGGGTAGTGAGAGAGTGTTGGCAGACAAGGGAAGAGAGAGAGGAGCCGGCACCCAACCAAGGAGGGGCAAGAGCCATCAGGGTTCTCCCATTCTACAGACTTCCATTCCATAGTCAAGCAGAGTAGACAGATTGCTCATGTTAAAGAACTGCTGACAGAGAACTGCGGTAGTCTGTTGACATGCCCTTCCTCGTAGTTCAATGAGGGAGACAGAATGAGAACAAATCAGAATGCAAATAAATCTTACAGTTATAAGTTGCAAAGAGTCCTGGAGGTGGGGGGTGTGGGGCGTGGGATGGGGTTTCGCTGATGCAGTGAAGCGTGGGGATCTGGTTCAAAAAGAGCAGCCAGGTGACATCTGAGAGGCAGGCACATGTCCCTTTCCAGGTCTGTGATCAGATAGCATTGCCTTGGTTTGGTTTGAGGTTTCCTGAGCTGCTGGAATTAGGACCGCCGCCCGGTGTACAATGGTGAAGCCTTCTGCTGCTAAGTGAAAAGTTGGCAGTTCAAATCCCCCCAGCGGCTACAAGGGAGAAAGACCTGGTGACCTACTCCCAGGAAGACTGTTGTCCTTAGTCGATTCCAGCTCATAGAAACCATGTGTGTACCTCCTGGAACCACGTTCTCCAGCTTTTCAGAACTGTGGCCCTTTGAAGTAGTTAGCCAGCACTCTCTCCCCAAGCATGACCAGAGGGAGCCCAGCCATCAATTCAGCAAGTAGTCCAGAGCACAGCCAGGGACTCTCTGTCAAGCGAACAGGCTAGAAAATGCGGTGAGCTGTTTTTAACTCTGTCAACATTGACTCAGTGGTGCTTTAACAACAACATGTGATGCGTGGAAATTATATGGGAGCATTTGATTCTTTGCAAGACCCTCTCATGCCCTTTCCCTGTGGCATTCTGACTAATGATGTGTTCAAAACTTGGTGGCTTTCTCAGACAGAGCACGTGAGTGACCTCAGTGAGCTGACTCACAAGGGACTTGTAACATGAGTGGAAAGAGAAACTGGTGATGTCTTAAGCCATTGAGGGAAGATATTTGTTACTGTAGCATCACTGAGACCATCCTGGCTATGTTAAGGGGCATCTTTAATGAGAACGAATGATGCTGTAAAGAGACATTAAAGCAAAAAGAGTTTAAAGAAGGTCCATTAGGGCTGGAACATAGGCTGTTCGGCTTCTGGACGGAATGGATGTTTATATTCTGGAAGTGCTCTAAAACCAATTAAGTCGCTGGACTCTAAATGTCTTTGATTTGTCAAACTCTCCTATTTTATCTCTGATCTGAATTATGATCATTTTTATCAAGAACTTTGCACCCGGGCAGTGGATTTGATAATGCACTCCTAATGCCTTCTCCTGAACTGGGGCCTCTATCTTTTCAGTCAATGCTGAGATGCGCTTGGGTGCATCGGCCATTCATAGCTGAGCTGAGGCTTGGGCTGGACAGCCTCACAGCATTTTGCAATCAAGTGGTATACAATATTGTGCAATTTTGTAGCTCTTGGTATTTCATATTAATTTCTAATATCCTGGCTACGGATCCTAGGGGGGTGGAAACACAACAAACTTTTATGGGGCTCGCCATCCCCTTTTGAATGTTGATGTAGGTGAGCGTGGCTTTTGCACTTAGGATCTTGCTCAAAAATGAAACAAAACAAGAACCTTGTAGCGAAAAAGCAATTGCAGGGTTTGCCATTTATCTTCCCTAGAAGAAAAGAAGAGCTGAGTCAGCCCTCCTGGGATGTGACAGCTAAGGTACTTCTTTATCCTTGACACTGTGCAGATAGCGCTACCAATACCCTAACTGCCTTTATTGAAGTTTGGTAGACAGAGAGGAAGTGCATAGCTTCATAGGACTGTCATTCATGTTTAGTTCTTTGAGTCTTCAGGAAAATCCCCTCAAGAAGAAAAATCAGGGAAGGGAAATAAATCTAAAGCAATAACCAAGTCTTTAATATTGTCCAGGCTCAGTGGTGAGTCCTTCCATAGGAGTCATTACTCCCACCCAGTGGAGGGAACAGCCCAGGGAGGTTATAACCACCCAGCCAATGTCTTTTCCCTCTAAAGGTCTTGTGCTTTCTATCCTGCCACTTAGACTAGAGTGTAAAAGTCGTCCCTTCCTATTACCACAGTCACATACAAAGTGCCCCGGTCTGCTTTCTAGGATCCCTAGGTGTGCACTGAGAGAGAAACGCTAGACCAGTGCTTATTCATCACATGTAGATTCAGAAGAGCCTCTAAACGAAGCTGGCTGTAACAAGCTGTGCTCTACTAATTGTATATCTTCCCTTTGTTCCGCCTCATCCTGGATAATTAGCACCGTTTTGAAAATAAAAGTTTTTTATGACATTAAAATTCTTATACAGCACACCCTCTAATTATTTCATATCTTAATATTAGGGACTCAGATTCTCGTGGTAGAAGGGGGAATTCTGTTTGTTATTTAATTACTTACAGAAGGAGCGTAGGAAGGGTGGAAAAGAGGAGACAAAAAGATTATTAAAATAATTTCTACTCTTAGATCAAGGCTCAGGCTTATGTTTGTCTGGAAGCTTCACTCCCACCTGGAGTGGTGTCAGACCTTGTCTGTATGAGCAATAGTCTCAATTATGCCGCTTACATCTCTCCTTGACCTTCAAAGCTGATGAAAAGCCTCCTAACCACCCCCACCCCCCACAAACCCTCATTCCATAGTTCAAACTGAAGGCCTTGGCGATGCCAGAGTAAAATATTCACCTTCCGTGTGGGATGTCCAAGGTCAATTTCTGACCAATGCCTCTCAAATGCAGCTACGCGTATCTGTCCTAGCAGTCTTGGGTGATGCCCTGACGCAGAGCAGATTGCAATCAGAAGAGCTTCCAGACGAAGCCAGACTAGGAAGAAGGGCCAAACCACCTCCTCCTGAAACGGAGCCCAGTTGGATTGCGCCGGTCGGATCACAGTGTGCTTGGGGTTGTGGAACGTCACAGGCCCTCTGACAACAGCAGCACAGGGACAGGGAAGTTTCCTCTCCCCATGCTCGGTGGCACGTGGTACTAGTCTCCTGGCATCTATCTGCCCTGTATGATAGGAATGGGGCGTGGGGGAAAGACTAGTGGTCATTCATGGGTATCTGTTTTTCTCTTTCTTCCCGGGCACTAAACTGACAGGCTTCTCTCGGAGCTCAGTGAGATCGTGTGAGGATGAGTCTCTAGCAGTGGAAGACATGGAAGGTGGCTGATTTCTGGGGACCAGGGTCTTGAGAAATTGGGTGTGCTTTCTTCCAGCAGTCGTTCCCTACTGCAATCTTAGGAGAGGACCCTGAGGCCTGCAGGGAATGGGGAGCCAGCCGTGGAGACGGAATTGCCAGGTGGGACACCCTGCTTTAGCAGGAGCCCCCACCCCACCCCCAGGAGGTTGTTCCACAAGAATGAATTGACTGCCTTCTTTAGAAAGTTCTGAAAGTTAAGGGTTAATTGTTATAGCTGCTCCCCCACACTCACTCTCCGCTATCAAGTTGATGCTGATTCATAGTGATGCGACAGGGCAGGGTAGAACAGCCCCTGCAAGTGTTCAAGACTGGAACTCTCTGAAAGCAGAAAGCCTCTTCTTTCTCCAGAAGCCCAACACCTAACCCACTGCGCTACCAGGGCTCAGTGTGGGCGGAACTAGCAGTGTGTTCATATTTGTAAGTGCATGCGTCTGCATAGTGGGTGTGCATCGGTACATGCATGAGTCCTAGTGCAGTGTGACTCCCTCTATACGAGGCACCCAGAGGACTGAGACAGACCCTTCCACTTAACGCAGAGTAAAGTTAAACTGCTTTGGTGCCTTGTGTGGAAATGGAGTAAAGGGTCCTCAGAGTGAAGAGTGGGGTCTGCT